GGCCTGGGGTGTTACGGGGCACGGTTCTGAGCGGTGTCCCCACCCCTGTTTCCTTGGAATCACCCGGTGACAGACTTCTCACCCCAAGGTAGGGTTTCTGAGGGTCCTCATGCTTTTCCTGAGTGACTGTGACTCACCCTCCGGGTCATCATGACCTAACAAACGCGCCACCTACAGCTCCACACGGCCTGTCTGCGCAAACGCGGCGCGAAAGAAAATTTATGTTTCTACTGGGGGGCGGTAGGACCTGGAGCCCTCGGTTATTGCCAGAGGAAACCGAGACCTCGAGTACCCCCAGCCTATTCACACGGTTCCCAAAATAAAACTGCCTTTACGTTTTAAACAAGACAGCCACTTTCTGCCAAGAGGGATAGGTCAGTCTGTTTTCATGTCTCTGTTGTGCTGCTCAAAATCCTCACCAAAAAAAAAATTATATTATGTAACTGTTAAACTGGACGCAAATTCCCAGCTAAGGAGTAATTTATGTGTGCAAACTATGAACACTTTCACAATAAAAGTCTGCTCAACATAATACATTTTGGAGAAGAACAGAGACCACTGGTTCTGTTATTTTACTCCCCAGCTTGCGCCTGGAGCCAACTGGAATAACTTTTGTTTACTGTCTAGCTGGGAAGTGTTGCCCTGGGGCCCACAGCTCCCACGGAGAACAGCCTTGGGAAAACACCTGCCTTCCTCCATGCTCATTTGGAAGGACACTGTGTTAAATTTGGAGTTTATTTTGAGGAAAATATTAGTATTAATATTGTGTGACTATAGTTCAGGGAATGATTACAACATTCATCATGTTTTGATTCTTAAAATTTTCCCCTCTTGTCAGGAGTCCTGGATTTTGTTTAAAATGATATCTAACTATAGATTTCACTCACAAAAAGTAAAATCTATTACTCTAGCATTTCTTAAAAAGAAAAAAATTTAAATATATCTTTATTGATTTCAGAGAGAGGAAGGGAGAGGGAGAGAGAGAGATGGAAATATCAATGATGAGAGAGCCACATTGATCGGCTGCCTCCTGCACGTCCCCGACTAGGGATCGAGCCCGAACCCGGGCATGTGTGCTGACTGGGTATTGAACTGCAATCTCCTGGATCCTAGGTCGATGGTCAACCTCTGAGCCACACCCAGCTGGACAAAAATGTTTGTTTTTTTAATAAATTGTGGTGAGGTTTTTACTCTTAGGTTCAGAATAATAGATACCACTTGTCCTAGTCAAAAGTTCAAAAACAACAACTCCCCTCCCCTTCCTCCCAAAGCAAACCATTGTTAGGAACCTGCTATGTGCCAGGCAATCCACAGATAACAAAGTTATAAAAACAAAAGACAAAATTCCTGTCTTCATAATCCTAGTGAAGGGTGAAGATGGGTCGATAGATTATTGTGTTTAGTGAGGACTATGATAAAAAAATTATATATATATACACTTTAATCCACATTGTGGGGAGAAAAGGCCCTTTCTTCCCAGAAGTGATGCTTAAAGAGAAACCTGGAGGATTCACCTGTCTTTCATCCTAGTGATGACTAACCTGACTTTAGGTGAAAACTGAGGGATTCCATGAAGAAAAAAAATTTGGGCTTTCAAAGTACAGAACAGTTTGTTCATTTTACAGACATATATTGAGCACCTGCTTTGTACTGACATGGTATTAGGGCTGGGGATAGAGAAAAATACACAAAAATCTCTGAGATTGCATTCTGGTTGGGGAGACAGACAACATGTTTCTTTAAAGTAAAATTCCCAAGAGAAACAAAAACATATGCATGAATGTTTATAGCAGCATTATTTATAATAGCTAAGAGGTGGAAAGAACCCAAATGTCCATCAGCTGATAAACAGGAAAAGAAAATGTGTTATATTCATAGGGCATTAAAAGAAATGAAGTTCTGATGCATGCATGCTACAGCATGGAAGAAACTTGAAAACATGTTAAATGAATGAAGTCAGTCACAGAAGCCCACCTAACTTATTATTCCATTTATATAAAATGTCCAAAACTGGCAAATCTGGAGAGACAGGAAGTAGATTAGTGGTTGCCTAGGATGAGGGCAGTGGAATGTTCTGAGGGGAAATGGGGACTGACTGCTAATGGGTCCAGGAGGTCTTTCTGGGGTGATGAGAATGTACTACAATTGATTGTAGTGATGGTTGTACAACTGTGAGAATATATTGAAAACCATTGACTAGTATACTGTAAATGGGTGAATTGTATGGTATATGAATTACACCTCAATTTGAAAAAGTAAAATGTATAGTACATTAGATGGTGGTAAGTGCTATGGAAAATAATAAAAATATGGGAAGTGGTAAACAGGGATGGGAGAGTTTTGGAGGGTGGGCTGGGTATACGTTTTTTTATACAGAGTAGGGAGGGCAGGTAACATTTGAGTTAAGATCTAAAGGAGGTCAAGAGGAAAACCTTAGACTTTGACAGCTGCAAGGGAAGGAAAGTTTTTCCATCAACCAGTCATTCCCAAAGGGCAGTTCAGATATAAGGAACACAGGTAAATACAGAGTAGCTACAGTTTTATAAAGTCTTTAATACTACTAACATATTGTTTTCGTATTTCCCTACATGATAACTATTTAAATAAGGCTCGTGTTGGTCAGAAAACACTAAATGAGTGCATCTGGGGATTTGGGGATTCTAGAAGTTCTGTATGGTGGAGCTTTGGTTTTGATTGTTATGGAGGTGCTCACGCAGGAAGCTGTGAAATATAGTTGTGTTTGTTTTCCCTTTTGGTTTCTTCAGTTGAACAAATAAATATTAATAAACACTCCAATCAGCAATTTATTCCCAAATATTTTAATTTTTCTCTCTTAGAATACTAATCTTTCCCTCCTTAACACTTTAACATTAACTTTGTAAACAAATAACTCTGGAGGGTGCACACAGGAACAGCTCTTGGAAGCACGTAGCTCCTCATTTTGACCAGAAGAGGGCACTAGAGAGCTTTTGGACTGTTTAAGGGCCCACATCCATAGGGCTGGGTGGAGCCTAAAGCATTCCCTTAGTCCTGCCCCAGTCTCTGACTCAGAAGCAGATTGCTGCACACCACTTTGCTAAGGGACAAGTTCAGACACAGTTTTCTAATATCTTACACCTCTTTAACCTCAAAATGATGTTCTGCTAAATCTTCAAACTTTGACAGTGTGGACTAACTTCCTGGTACTTGTTTTGTGTTCTGTTTTTGTTTTTAGTAGTTTTTGAGGTGGATACAGGATTTTAACTTCATTTTACATGAATCACCAGGCATGTTTCAGGGCACGTGATTCTACCAATGATAGGCAATACAGGGTATGGAGCAGGCACAGCCTAAAACCACTGACTATAGCTCCCATGGTAAAAAGTTAATGGCCCAAACTTGCCTTAATAACTGTCAGAAGTCATACACTGCTGTGGGTTTGCCATATATGGCCTTCATTATCTTGAGGTATGTTTCCTCTGTTCCCACTTAGTTGAGAGTTGTCCTAACAGGGTGCTGAATTTTATAAAATGCTTTTTTTGTATCTATTGTTATGATTATATGATTTTCATATTTTGTTTTGTTTATGTAGTATATCACATTAATTGATTTGCAGATATCTGTTGGGAGTGTTGTTTTGTTTTTTACCGCATTGATTTTGTTGGTTCTAATTGGTCTGTTTGGACTTTCTCTGTCTTCTTGATTTAGTCTTGGAAGATTGTATGTTTCTAAGAATTCACCCATTTCTTCCAGATTGTCCAATTTGTTGGTATATAATGATTTGTAGTATTTTCTTATAATCCTTTGTATTTTCTGTGGAGTCAGTTGTTATTTCTTTTATTTCTGATTTTACTTACTTGGGTCCTTTCTTTTTTCTTGATGAGTCTGGTTAAAGGTTTCTCAATCTTGTTTTGCTTTTCAATGAGCCAGTTTTTGGTTTCATTGATCTTTAGTACTGTTTTTTCTTTAGACTCTTATTTATTTCCACTCTGATCTTTATTATTTCCTTTCTCCTCTTCTTCACTTTGGGCTTTGTTTGTTGTTGTGTGTGTTTTTCTAGTTCCTTTAGGTATACAATCAGCTTGTTTATTTGAGATTTTTCTTGTTTTTTGAGGTAGGCCTGTAATGCTATGAATTGTCCTCTTGGGACTACTTTGCTCTGTCTCATAGATTTGGGGTTGTTATGTGTTCATTTTTATTTGTCTCAGGTATCTTTTGATTTCTTCTTTGATCTCATTGTTAACCCATTAATTGTTTAGTAACAGGTTATTTAGCCTCCATATGTTTGTGTGTTTTTCAGGGTTTTGTTGTAACTGATTTCTAGTTTCATAC